GTTCATGGGGTCACGAAGAGTCGGACACGACTTAACGACTAAACAACAACAACAACAAACAGTGAGGAGGTATGGGGATCCTCAGCACTGCTCTCAGGATGCCTACACAGAGGGGGCTAAATCTGGGCAGGAGACACTCCTGTATGCAGATGGCGCCAAGCCATCCAAGGCTCCGTGGGTGACAACCATCACCTTGATGTTGGAACCTGAAGCTGTTACCAACCAATGCAGTGACAAAGAACAGGGGTCATGCGACTAAACCACTCCGTTAGCAGCCAACTTGTTTTCAAAGGCAGCGTAGCAGCTGGGTCTCAGAAGCCCCCCCCCCCCCGAAACTGGGAAGACCTTTTCCAGGGGTCCTGCTGAAAGGCAGCATGGATCAGGATGTGAGTCACAGTTATCAGGGCTTCCTGGCCCAGGTGAGCCTGCAAGCTGGCCCTGGCCCATCTCCGCCTACTGCTTGAGCAGGAGCCATGAGTCCGGAAGAACCCCTAAGTCACAAATCTGCTTTTTAGGGGGAGCGTGACCCTGCTCAGAGCATCAATCAGCTATAAGCAGCAAGATTGCTTTGCCGGGGTTTAGTCTGAGCTCTCAGCCGCCAAACACCAGGCTAGGACTGGAGGAGTGCAACTGAAAGTCATCCCAAAGCAGTTTCACACGATATTAAACAGCCCAGGACAGGATGTTAAACGTTTTGGTACTCCACACTGCAGAAACCGCAGCTGTGACCGCTGAATTTGGCTGAAGCCACCTGTTCAGGATGGAGCAGAAGCATTGCAAATGTTGCCTCCAACCTCCCACCGTCCCAGGCAGGCCAGAAGGACAGCCTGGCCGAGGGTACTGAATGCTGGTAGGAGGTATAACAGGACCGGGAAGGGTGCACGCCTTCCCTCTAGGTCCTGATGAAGGTCACCCACCAGAATGACCTATGCTGTTTCTGTCCCATGCCCAGGCCTGAAACCTGCTGGAAAGAATCCAGAAAATCCGTTTCCTGTAGGGCTGTCTGCAAGTGAAGCCCCCCATCTCTCCAGAAACTTCCTCAGAAAGGGAAGATGTATGGCTACAATTGGACGGAGATGACCTCTTCAGCAGGGTGTGCTCCACTGCCTCCTTCAAGCCAGGCGTTAACCACCACCCAAATCCAGCTGCACCCAGCCATTCCAAGGATCCAGCACCCGAGGGTGGTGCCCTATACATGAAGTCAAAACCAAGCACTTCACTTAGGGCTTCATACGCTGCGTGAACACTGTGCTAAGTCTCCCTTCCTTAGAAAAGCACCTTTGATTTTCATTAGCACAAGACTTATCATTTATCACTAGGGAGCTCAATGCCAGTGCCAACCCTCTCATTTCTGACACGACCTACGTGGAAACAAATTGTTTTGTGCAGCTTTTCCCAAACCACGTACAAATTTGTGTGCCACAATACAAGTATACAAGTCAATTGCAAATACATGTAAATGCAACATGTTTGTGTATTTCTTAGAAACTAGAAAGTATAATGGTCATTTTTTACTCCTGGCAACTGCCTCTTGCAGTTTTCTTCTTCCTAAGGCTGAGAGAGAATGACTGGCGCAAGGTCACCCAGCTGGCTTCGTGCCTCAGTTGGGACTAGAAGTCACTGTCTCCAGACCCTTCACCATTACACCAAACTGGCTCTACACATACACGCTTACGCAGTATAATATAAATTTGCTAGTCACTGATAACCGATAATTGCAATCAACAT